TACACACATGCATTCATGTGCATGGCTGCCAGAGGATAAGATGCAGGAAGCCAGTCTTCTCCTTCTACTATGTAGGTCCTAAAATTGGACTCAGTTGTCAGACTTTGACTGCAAGCACCTTTACCCCCTGAGCTGCCTCACTGGCCCTGAAATTTTATTTTGGAGACAATATTAGGGTATTTAAGAGAACATATTACTCATCTTTTCTTACTATTTAGACTGGCAGAAGGTTTCTCTTAAGATATTTAAGTATGAAATTATTTATCAGTTTATAAATGCAGTTGTAAATAGACAAAGGGTGTTAGCTAAGTTTGAAGTCAAAGAAACTGTTGGTCACAATGAAGTAAAAGTGATTAACATTTGCTAAGTTCAAAATAACCATGTATTTATTTTATGTGTATGATTGTCTTGCCTGCATGTATACCTATACTTAGTGCCCACAGAGGCCTTGAGAGGGCATCAGATCTCTAGGAACTGGAGTTATAGAGGCTGTGAGCTGCCATGTGGGTGCTGGGAACTGAACCCAGGTCCTTTGAAAGAACTGCAAGTCCTCTTAACTGCCGAGTTGTCCTTTCATCTTTTCTAAATTTCAAATAGTATAGTGTCTGTAAAGTGAATTTAAGAAATCCTTTTTACGCTGGGTGGTGGTGGTGCAACACCTTTAATCCCAGCACTGAGGAGACTGTGTGGGTGATGAGGTAACAGGGCCAGTCAGATCCTCTTGGTGCCTCCTTTTCCATAGTTGGGAGAGTATCTCTGCTTTGGCGACAAGTGTTCGACTGTCTGGGGTTCTGTTTAGGTGGGAATGTGAAGTCGCGTCTTCTTAATGCTCATGGTCACCATAGCTCTGTCAGCATTGTTGATTTCCAAGGAGCATGGCCTCAACTACTCCAATCCTTTCCTTCAGGTTATGGACGAGATCTCTTCCCAGGAGAAAAACATTGCTGCTCTTGAGAACGCAACAAGAAGGGCCGGCTAAGGTAGCGCACACGCGCCTGGAGACCAGGACGCACCGGCCTAATGTGGAGCTGTGTCGCGATATCGCTCAGTATCGGCTGATCAAAGAGATTCAGGAGATCAACCATAATGTTGCCAGGTGGGCCAGCCCCTGCTGGAACGTGACTTCAGGCTACATTATAAATACCGGGAAGGGGCATGGCCGAGGGTGCTGCTGGCTCTGTAACGTTGGAAGGATGCCCTTCCTGAAACAGATCTCAACCCCAAGGCGTTTTGTTATAAAGTCCAAATCCAGATGTTTGGATAATATCTGTTGTTTTAAATATTGGCTTTTCTTTTCCAGTGATGAAAATATAAAGCCAAGGGCTATGCAGCAAGAACTCTACCACTGAGAAATGTCCGTCCGCCCCCCCCCCCGCCCCCTTCAACTCTTGTTTTGAGACCAGTTCTTGCTAAGTAGTTTGGGCTGCCCTTGAGCTGTCTATGTAACCTAGGCTGGCTTTTATGTAATCATCCATCCCTTAAGTGCTGGGTTTACAGGTGTATACCACTACCACATCCAGCAAGTACATCATAAGCCTGCCTGTCCCTGCCTGTGGCCAAGAGCCAGAAAGCACTGCCTTGAGAAGCAAGCAAGGGGATGAGTGCTATCGGTTTGACTGAGTATCTACTAAGCGGGTCCCCCTCCCCCTTGGAAAAAGCAGTGCAGAGCGAGTGATGATTCCCACGCTCTTCTCCTTCTCCCAGGTTAAAGGAAATCTTGGCCCAGGCTCAGATAGAGCTGAAGGCACTGTACCGCAGGCAGCTGGCCCTGCAGGAGGAAATCCAGGTTAAGGAGAACACCATCTATATCGATGAGGTGCTGTGCATGGAGATGAGGAAGTCCATCCCCCCTCGTGATGGTGATGACCATGGGGCCTGGGAGGGAGGCATCCGAGCGGAGGCCATCTGCTGATAGGTGCTGTTCAGATTCTCATTAAACCACATTGTAAGACAGCAGTAGCTCAGGATTCTCATTTCAGGTGGGTAGAACTTTGGGCAGCCTGTCACAGCCTCTTGGTAGGACATCTCAGGCCCTCTGGGTATCTGTGGCTCAGGGACAAGATTCTGTTCTACCATGGCTGTCGATGAGGTGGGTATTTCACAATTCAAGGCTATGTATTAACATCATCCATGGACTTGGGGCCAGGGGAGGGAGCCATTAGAGATCCATTCTATTCACACGCTCAGGCTGGGTCTTCTGTCCAAGGCATGCCCTTCTTTTTTATAGACTGGTATGCAGGCACTTCTCAGGGGTCTCAGCATCCATTTATCCTAGGAAGCAATGTGGAGATTACTGGCTTAGATGCCCGCTCCCACCTCCTGGTAGTTCATCGCCAGTCTATGCAAATGTCACATAAACAGATGAAGGAGAAGGTGGTTAGGGGCTCCCTTCTCTGAGTGAGTAGAAGACAGCCTAAGGCCAAGAGGACGCTCAATTGTCTAAAGTTCAGTCTAGGGACCGGGAGGAGTAGTGGTAAGCACAATCACTGGTGTCTGTGGTTGTGAGGTCAGAGAGGAAATGTCCCTGGCCCAAAGACTAGGGAAAGGTTCCAACAGTAGCAGTGGTGACTTGAGTTTGCTGTAGGATTCTGGCACTTACAGGTACAGTTTCTGATGGACAGCTGGGAAAGACAGCAGCAGCCTGGGCTGGGTTGGGAAGGCAAGTCCCTGTCCAGTCTGCATCCTTCAGCGCCCCCATGTGACGGCAAGAAGTTTTACTACTTTGTTTTTTCCTTCCTGAAGGGGAACTCATTTTGTGTTTTATTCTTGACTATTTAGTACTCACTGGATGTTTTTGTTTTGTTACATTTTTTACTTTTAAAATGAGTGTCAGTAAAGGAAAATAAAATTCGAATTCATGCTAACTGTGGTCAAGAATATAGGTTTC